GAACTCATAATACTCTTAAACTCATTAATCCTAAGAAACGCTAGAGTATTCACAAAAAAAAAAATTTTTTTTATTAAAAATTATAAATAAAGTTTTTCTATGGAAGGATATTAAAGGATTTAATATTAGTGATTTATGGTGTAAGTTGAGATTTATAATTATTTTTTATATTCACTTTGTGTTCGGTATCTGCTCTCGTATCAACGCAGATGTGGGTCTGGCATTGAGGCTCATTTTAATTATTTTACATTACAGAGTTTTGAGTTTTTCTAATTTAAAAATTAACTGTGGCTGCAATGTGTGGCTTAATAAAAATTATCTACACGTATATATTAAACTCAAAATTTTAATAATTTATCATAAGTTTAATGGAAATTTTATGCTCGTAATGAAAAACAAAATTTATCAAGCCAGTTATTAAAGTACACTGTATTAATTAATTTTTAAGCGAGGTAATGACTTCATTATTTCTCCGAACAGTAAGATAAACAATCTTAATTGCTAACTTAAAGGTAAACTCCAATCACAAAAAAAATGATAAATTGAAAATATTAAATAAAATTAATTACTTTAACCTTACCAATTAAGACATCAAGTAACAGAGTTAAAATTACTGGTGGGATATTAAACGGGTCACCATGGTCTGCGGTATCACCTTAACAAAATGGATCTGTCTAAAGAGATAGATTGTTGACTCTGCTTAGAAGCAGACAAAACTTCCAGTCACATTCTCTGTGACTGCCCAACCTTGATCTGGACCAGGAGGAGTTCGCTGGTTCGGAAACTACTCTCCCCTTCTGACACTAAGAGGTCCACAACGGCTAACATTCTGGCTTTCAATCAAAAGGCGGAATGTCTTCTGTTCGGTTAGGGTCTGTTGCAGCAGAAAAGAGTAACCATGGTCGCAGTGCTCTGCTCTGTCGGGAACTGGTACCCTGTTTATTCCTATTTTTTTTCCTAAGACATCAAGTATACAATTTAGTCTACGTTAACTATTAGACGATCTAGTTGACCGCCTGTCTCAATAAACTGAACACAACTACCTCAAAGTTTAGTGGCAAAATACTATCATAAATACTGGTCAATTCACTTGTTTACTATAGAACTCACATTTTTAACCTAAGCGAAACTTTGAACTTTAAACTATGGTACTTATTTTCATTCTGCAATCGAAATATAAAATTGTTGTAAGAGATTAATAGTGTGCTGAAATCCATTTGGAGTTATGGACTACAGCTGTGGGGACTGCATTTTAGACAATCATAATAGAGATGATATTTTTCTTTTCTTCTAAGATCTTCAAATCTGACAATAATCCAACCTTTTCAGTTGGAAATACAACACTTGATTTTAACTGTGCACTAGAATATTACCAACATCAAATTACACAACTATGAGTCCTAACAATCAATAAAGGATTTTTAATATTACAAAAAACATACAAATCGAATATATATATATATATATATATATATATATATACTTTCGGGCCTATTCTGTGCACTTGACAGATTTGTCAAATTCTTTAATAAAATTTTTGGTTTTTGTATAGCAGAAAGCTTTAGTACTTAAAGCTCAAGTACCTAATGCTTCTCATGTGTCTATGTGAAGTGTTTTGTATATAAAACTGTTCGTAATTGTTCGTAATAGTTCGTAACTGTTCGTAAAAAATGCTTGTAAAGAGCATATATTTTAAATTGTAGAAAGCATTTTTCATGCATTCAAATCACAATAAAAAATATGTTGTAAAGAGCGTATATTTTAGTTAAGAATATTTGTCATGCATGCAAAAAATAAAAAATGCTTAAAAAGAGCATATTTTTATAGTTGTCAATAGCATTTGTAGTATTGACAACTAACAAGGAAAGGAGCTTTTTATTTATGTCAGAGAATACCAAAACCTTTGCAGCAGTCAATTTTGACAAGTGTCAATGTTTGACAAGTTTATAAAGTGCACAGAATAGGTGCGTAAATCTATTCCTTCGAATTTAGATAATTTAATGTATCTTTCGACTTTATAGATGAACAATCTGATGAACTGTCCAAAAATACCTTCCTAAAAATCTGTTTTTTCGGGACACCAAAGTGGGATACTCTCACAGAGAAAATGTTTAATGGTTACGTTTTCCGGCAAGTTTCCACAATTCTAAAGTGAGAGTTATGAGGAAGTTTCTTTGCGTGGACCAATGACCAGAAAGAACTGCAATAAACCTTGTAGTGTTTATGCGATCCCTTTAATGAGTACCCAACATCTAGTTTTATTATAGGTGGGCCATGTTAACTTAAGTGCCTTTTATTTATTATTGGTAAGTTGCAGAAAGTAGAGATAAGTATTTATCTTAATTGTCTCTAGAGTAATATAAACCGGTACCGCTAGAAATGCATTCAGGGAAGCAACAGAGCGCGCTTAACTGTCAGCTTACTTGTTCCCTTCAATTTTCCTATGTCCAGCGACCCAGATAAGGGTGTTGTCAGCCAACTGGTTTAGCTTGTCGTTTGTTTCCCTACATTCCTTTGTTGTCCTTGATTTTGTGATAAAGCAATCAAAGACTTTGATTGGTGCGCGGCTGTCAATGAAAATGGTAACACTACATTTACCTTTAATGTGACCTGCAATTTACCGTAAATGTTCCCTCGACGTTAAAATTTCAGCCTGATAAATCGTAGTCTGATTAGGTGGCCTAAGAAAATTGTTTACGCCTGCAAATAGTGTGAGGATACCCGCTCCTTCATAGCAGTTTGTTTTCAATCTATCTGTGTAGATTGAGATATCCTTATTTGCTTGAAAGAAACCGTAGTTGGATTAGGTAGCCTAAGAAAATTGTTCACGCCTGCAAATAGTGTGAGGATACCCGCTCCTACATAGCAGTTCATTTTCAATCCATTCGTGTAGACTGAGATATCGTTATTTGTTTGAAATTTCCTTTGAAGAGAATATTATCTGAAAATTTCTTTCAAAACTTAGGCATGGATTAAGATAATTCGATGATTTGTTGCTATAGTTTTAAAATTTTTATTATTAATTATTATTATTTGTTTTTATTATTTATTATTTTATTATTTTGTTACTTTTATTGTAATGAATATGATTATAAGCTGCAGTCAAGATATCCATATTAATAAAGTATTTCCGAAACTAATTTAAAAAGTTTTGTATTTTTTACCATTGATAAGTAAGTCCGTATAAAAATATATAATTTTGTACATTTGATATTGTCATTAAAGCAATATTTTAATAGCTTGTATTGAATTACAGTCATCGCTCTTATAAAGTGACCTTCATAAAAAGTGTACTATATGCAATTTACCTTACCTGACTTTATGGGGTTCTTAAATTTTTTTTTTCTTAAAAAGACTAAATTGTTCTAAAAATTTTCATTTGGGCTTTTAAAAAGCCATTTTATGAAGTATATTTATCCTTCAATCTCTAAAGATATTTCTCATATTTTATGAAATATAAAACATGAAACAATTATCAGCTTAACTGCATTTTAAGTGCTTAATCCTCCATAAAAAAAAAGTGCACTTTGCACTACTAACGAGTGCCAAATCTCATCCAGAGTGTTTTGCCAAAATTGAATTTTACTTGATCCACAAGCAAATTGCCATAGTAAAACTGAATTTAATAAAGAATTTTTTTTTGTGAGATGCATACAATGATACTAAGTACGAGTATCTAAAGTATGAGTATCTGGTATCTTAACTGTTGGTTTTGAGTTATCTGCCGCATATACCATATCTGATCTGTCAGTTTGTGTGCACGTTTGCCTAAGTTTATGGCGTTTGTACGCTTTAATTTATGGAAGATATTTCAGTGCACCCCGTGTGTGCGGACTTTATCTGTTCTTGCCTATTTAAGTCAAAATATTTTGATGCGCACACACACATGCACACACTTTGTATCTACGAAACATATTTTTTATAATAAAATGTTTTTTTCTTATTTTGTACTTTCAGCTACACGGGTAGATTTTGAGAATTCGTATCTGTTGCTGCTGAAGATGCTGGGACTGCAGTAGAACGGCGATAGGCGTACGGTACGTTAGAAACTTTTAACGGCTGCTCACTAAAGTGTTAACACGTTTTCGCATTTGTCGCTTTATCGGGGACGGAAATTAATTTATTAAAGCGCGTTTCAGCTCGGCAAGTTTCATAGAAAAAATTCCAAATTTTGACTTGCATAAATTAAGCTTCAATTAACGATTCCGTGGCGTGCATGTGAACAGAAATTTTCACAAAAAGTCAAAGTTCAGTGGAAGCTGAGCCACCAAACAGCTTAATTGAATTATTAAATTTTAAACTGAAGTGGAACAAAATTTTATGCTTCTTATTAAGAATTAATAAATAAAACGAACTCTGAGATGCGGTTTTCAAAATTCGTATTGCATGTGAAAGAAAACAGTGATATATTTGTGTAGATATACGTTCGTCAAGATATAAATATTATTATGTAATTTAAAAAAAAATATAACTGATAAGTCAGTATCAAAATGACCTTAAGTGAAGTATAAATTAAAGTTAAATAACAAAGAATTATATACGAAATGTTTGATATGAAAACTACAACTAACTTAACAGCAGGTGTGGGGGAACTATTAAATGCTTCAACTTCATCTTTTCAAGAGAATACAATAACAACTGAAAGTTCTTACAATGATTTGATAGCAAATATAAGCACAACTGCATCTGATTTGCTAACAGAATGGATCTCTACAACAATTTTGGGAACAAATAATTTTAATCTAACCAATAATGACACCGACATTGATGATCTTTTATTAAATGACACTCTAAGTGATGGCCTATTTGACGACTTGCCATACGAACCTTGTTCCCCATTTAGCAAACATTTCAATTGCACACCGGAGGAATATTTAACTTATTTGCAGGGACCTCAAAGACTGCCGTTGCATACGGTACTGCTGGTGAGTGTTAGTCTGCATAAATAAAAAATATATATTTTACACTTATATACTAAAAGTTGAGCTGCAAAAATTTAAAACTAAAATCCTATAGTGTCAATTAAGGCGACTTAAACTTATCACAATATTTTACAGATTATGTATATTTCACAGAAAATGTAAATATAAACATTTTATGATATACGTATATTAACAATATCAGTATACCAAATCACTACAAAGTACTGAATTCTGGAAGAACAGAACATCTATCATTGGAAATTCATAGATTAATTTTAGTTTTTATTTAGTGCTTCTAAAGTAATTCGCATGTTATTAAGATTCATTCCGTTTTCACATCAGTAGATACTCTAGAACTTTAGACAGACTAACAGAGGTATACCAAAAAATGGTGTACCCATGTGTTGTTAGCTTACGTGTATCTCTGCTTCATATACACATACGTACAATAAAAATTCCCTGAGTATTCGAATATTTTCAAACTACCGCGTAATACTGAAACAGTACTAAGCGAGGTCTTACTGTACTTCAATATAAGTACAGTGAGTTTTGATCAATTTTTATTTCAATATGTTGTTTGAACCGCATAATTGAGTGTGAAATATAACAATACATTATTCAATACTTTTTAAACGTTATATTAATATATACTCCAATAGGTGTAAAGTCAAACATTATTTATAATATACGAGTATAGGTATGTTGAGAATATATATATGGTATATAATGTATACATTTTATATATAGGTCGCGGTACATCGTGCTGTATTACATCTTTTCTTCTTATTATAAATCAAATATTATTTATAATATATATGTTGAGAATATATATATATATGGTATATAATATATAGGTACATTTTATATATACGTCATCTTGCTGTATTACATTTTTTCTTCTTATTATAAGTCAAACATTATTTGTAATATATATGTTGAGAATATATCGGTATATGGTATATAATGTATACATTTTATATATATATCGCGGTACATCTTGCTGTATTACATCTCTTTTTGTGACTTGTCGTCACAAAGGTGACAATAACTCAATTATAAGTGGATGCCTATTTGCAATTCGTTGAAAGTTTCAGTATAATCACAATCCTTTGCGTAGTACCAAAATAATAAGTCCAGTTTAAACAAATGGTGGCCAATACACTTCAATACTGTTTCAGTATTTACAAACAATTCTATCATACGAAAAATGAGCCCCATCAGTAAAGAATATTCGATATGAAAAATCATCATTATTTTTCAAGTTATTTAGCGATTCTTAAACGATTAACATTTGAAAATAACAAACTCTAATCGATAAAACTAAAAGGATAATATTTTTACAATTTTTGTATAAACATGTGATAAATGTTGCATATGAACAGAACTATCGTATTAGAACTGTAGAATAGAGAACCTTTTGATTACACTTGGATGATCGTATGTGACGTTAAGAGAATACCACATCAGATGGTCTTTGGAAGACTGTCGAATGAGAACCGTGAAATAGACAACCTTTTGATGACCCTTAGATAATCGTATTGGATGTTAAGCAATTACCACAAAAGGTATAATACTTTTATGATATTTGGACGACCATCTGACAAATATTTCATGAGAACAGAACTATCGAATTAGAACCGTGGTATAGACAACATTTTGATGACTTTTGAAAGATCGTATTGGATGTTAAGCGAATACCACAAAAAGAATAATAGTTAGTATCTGATAAATGTTGCATACGAACAGAACTGTCAAATTAGAACCGTGAAATAGACAACCTTTTGATGAGCCTTTTATGACAGTTATATTTGTTATATGTCAACTGAACCGTGTTGTCAGATAGGGACCATAGGACAGGACCAATTAATTTGTTTTTTTTTACCACGATTTATGCATCCAATTAAATATTACTTTCAATAATATTTATGCTTTAGTTATGGAAATGTTTTTGGTTAGAAATTATCCTAATCACATACTTATTAATTTATGAAGTATTTATTGTGTTCTATCATGAGTTTGTGTACCACAGTTTTGCGTTTAAAATAAGAGCCAAAGATACGTATGTTGCTAACGAGATACAAATTAATTATACCACTTCTACAATTTTCATTTTGCATTTTTAATAAGTTTCTATGCAAAAAATACTAAAACTCAAATTTTAGCGAAAGCAATTATTTCACTACAAAACAATTTATATGCAAATTTCCATGGCGAAAAACTTAATATCGCAGCGTCGGTTATCGCAGCTAAAATGCAAATTTTATGAATTTCAGTTTCCTAAATACCTGAAATAGTTGTGCATTTTCCACTTAATACATTATTAACTATTATTAAATACTTATTAGAGGAAAATAAAATGGAATAATTAGAGACAAAAAAACTTCAACATATTTCACACTTCAGAATTTAATTAAATTATTTTGTTCCATGCAATAATTTCTAAGGCAAAATATTCGCTGCACTGAGTTTCCAAGGTGATCAATAGTTCAGAGGATTCTGAGTGAAAAGGTTAGTTTTTAGTCGAGAAATAAAGTTATTATTTTTCTCATATTTATGTAGAAGTATGAAAAGGTTTCATCCAAAACATTTCAATTGAAGTTTTGAAGTGTTTTGTTTGGATTTCGCTCTAAACTTTTGCTCGTTTTTTTATGCAGTTTTTGAAAAGGTTTCCCAAGTCAAGTGCGATGTATGAGCACGAGTGTGATTTGAATTTATTTGCCTTATTTTAAAGAAGAAAGGAAAATATTTTTATTTATGATTTTTCCAAGTTGATTCATAAAAGGATTCCAGGAATAAATAATCCTAAATTTTATTAGCGTAAATCAATCAATTGTCGACTTGCAAGCATGCCTTTTGTGTAGTACAAAACTCAGACCCGAGCAAACTCAATTTTAGGTAATATAAAAATTTTTATATTCAAAATATTTCAATCACACATTCTTTCCTCAGTTTTGTAGAAATTTTGATTTGTGTTTGTTGAAAACATTATAGACACTTCCATAAGTTTAAGGTTCCTTGACTTTTATATTAACTTTTTTGTTAGCTATTTTAAAATTGTTTGGTTTTTATTTTTAGAAATCCGTTCTCAACTGGTTATTTCTAAATAATTTTAATTTTAATATTTTATGCACGAAACCTTTATTTGCTTCTTATCTTACCTTTCTCTTAATACATCTAAACAATAAAAAATAAATTTAATTTGTTTGATTTTTTATTTATTAAATATTAATACTTTATCATCCTTCCTTTTAAATATTGTGACTTTATTGTTTACCACATTTAAAACCTAGTTCTTTCAGACATAAGAAAATACATACATCTCTACTTCACGTAAGACCCTTTGGAAATAAATCTAAACATAGTCTTATCGATAGGGAATTTCTTTAAGTGTCTAGAGACTATAAAAGACCTCATATATTCACATATATATATTTCATTTACTTGAAAGTAGAAGTATTGAAGAGGCTCAAAAAGTCTTCGGATACTGTATTCTTTGTTTTATTTTGTAGAGACTGGATGTATTATCTTTAAAGCTTGGTTTTCTTTAGAGACTATAAAGTCGTTATCAATGATCTTAAAGTCTGTGAAAGAAATTGGACTTAAACTAAATTGGAATAAATGGACTTAAATTCAAGAAATCAATTCCAATCTTTTTTGTAGAAATACGTTCCACTGATGTTGGTGCTATGGAATGTTTTCGTGAAAAAAAGAACCTACAAACAGATAATCAAATGGCATCAAAAGCGCTCCAAATGATTATCTTACCGTCTTATGCTCCAATAGGAGCGATAATACCTCTATATATTTGATGTCATTAAGGAATCAAAAAAAATCTATTACTTTAAAAATGATAAATTGTTGCTTAAACCGAGTAGATTGTAAGTGGTTGTTTGAACAGAGTTTACGAAAAAAAGCCAATGAAATGGTTGATAACCAAAGTAAAAGAGAGGTATATTTCTCCTTTATTAGTCGTGAAAATTTCTGTGAATGCAAAAACGCTGCTTAAATGATATCATCAGAAAATGGGTGAAAAGAAAATTATAGATCACTGGCTTAATAGTGTAAGCTAAATCAAACAAAATTATGTCTTTTTCCAACGTTTTTATCAAAATCGGTATTTATAAGGTACATTTATTAAACATTGTGGACTTAAGGCGTGGAGGGGTAATGAAAATTAGGTCAGTTTATAGGTTACTATTTCCTGTATAATCACTAAAATAGGTTTGGCACTGATGTCTGTCGTGAAATGAATAACGAAAGCTTTCCTCACATTTTTTTTGTGAATATCCAGCTCTTACTGGAGAAAGGTTGCAATGTGTTGTAACCTCATATACAATGCCATATACAATGCAATGGATTTACTATGAGTCCTGGTATGAAACCACTCTTATTACTTAATTACCTTTTAAAAGCGATTTTAGATAGATAGAGATATTTGTAAAGAACTAGCATAAACAAGAAAAGTGGAGAGGTTTTTTTAACTTTATGTGAAATTCAATTGTTCATTTGAATAATAATTAAAAAAATTAAAATAATTCAAAATAAAAATAATAAGCAGTGAGAACTCGTAAGCAGACACTAATAGCAGTATCAGAATGAGACAATTATCGATTATCAACTTGACAAGTATACTTTGATAACTAGAGGTTATCAATCGATAATTAGAGGCTAGTAACATTGCACAGTTACGAAAGATATCATTTATGCGTGCATTTGCATATATATAATTTACTAATACCTATATTTATATTAATTTTAATAAACCCAATTAAATAACTGTTATCCTACGTAATGTTTAATAATATAGTATTGAAGAAATTTAATAAAACTTGCTCCAATAAAGAAGAAGACATGAAATATATTGTATCAGTTGTTGTAGAAGAAAAGTGCACTCAAGCTTTAAATTATGCAAAAATGTCCAAGTAAGTCTAACACCGTGACCCTGGGTATCCACTTAATTTTGGTAGCCTATTGTGTTGAATACCCAATTTAAGTTTTATACA